TCCATTCTGCTCACAAGAACCGAGAAGACTTCTTTCTTTGATCTGCCCCATTCGGTAGGGACCCCCAAGTATTTTTCCCAAACCCTTTTCAAGAGGGATACCCAAACATTGAGCGATGATCTGCTTGATAGTATCAGGGGTGTTGTGACTGAAAGCGAGGGCCGATTTTTCACAATTGATCTCCTGACCCGTCATTTTGCCATAAGTCTCCATTGTTTTTTGAATATGCATAGCCTCTGCCAGAGATGCTTTCCCAAACAGAATTGTGTCATCTGCAAAAAGCACATGGGTAAGTCTAGGACAATTTGGGTTAAGAGAAATGCCTTGAAAAGTACCTTCCTGAACACTCTTGGAAATGAGAAAAGAAAGCGCATTAGTAAGGAGAATGAAAAGCAATGGAGAGAGTGGGTCTCCCTGACGGATGCCTCTGGACGGCTGAAAGAACTCTGAGGGTTGACCATTGAACAAGACCGAAAACCGCACAGTCTCAATGCACTCCTTGATCCAAAGGCACCATTGATGTGAAAAACCCATGGCTCTAAGGATACTCTCCAGACACTCCCACTCAACCATATCGTAGGCCTTCTTCATATCCAACTTAATCATCATTTCCCACTTCCCGCCTTTTGGGCGGGTCTTGAAATGGTGCATGACCTCATGGACAATGATGATGTTATCCTGAATAGCTCTCCCTCCACTAAAAGCCGTTTGCATCTCATCAACCAGTTGAGGGATCCAAACATTAAGTCTTGTTATCATGCTTTTGGATATCACCTTGTACCGGAAGTTGCAACAACTAATAGGCCTGAATTGGGATACTCTCTCCGGATTCAAGATTTTCGGTGTTAGCACCAAGTGAGTATCGTTCCATCCTTCAGGCATTGAGCTTTGTGAGAAGAAAGTTTTAATTTCCCCACAAAATTGCTCTCCAATACTGTCCCAGTAGGTCCTGTAAAAAAGACCGGGAAAACCATCCGGCCCAGGGGACTTACCAGATCCCAACTCAAAGACAGACCTTCTAATCTCCTCATCCTCAATAGGTTGGCAAAGAGCCTGATTCATCTCAACATTCACCACACATGGAATGTCTTGATAGGATCTCATATCCACACTTTCTTCTCTTTTTTTGAACAAATCCATGTAGAAAGAGACACAATGATGTTGCAAATCTTGTTGGTTAGTCAGCCAGTTATTCCCTCCATCTAACAACTTCATGACCTTGTTTCGATGACTTCTTTGGATAGTCGATGTGTGAAAGAATCTCGAATTCATATCCCCTCCTTTGAGCCATTGGATTCCAGATCGTTGTCTCCAGAACACCTCTTCCTCCTTCCACAGATTATTAAGCTCTGTAAGAAGATTTCTCTCTTCTTCAGCAACAATCGGATCTCTAGAAAAATCAAGAATTTCTTTCAACCTAGTCTGGATAGCTTTGATGCGAAGAGCTGCATTCCTGACATTTGTTTTACTCCATTCTAGTAGCTCTCTTCGACATAAATTCAGACAGGAGTGGTGGCTGCCTCCTCCCTGCCAGATGCGCCTAATGATGTCTCCACAGTTTTCATAGCTGGGCCATCTATGATCAAATCGGAATATAGCTCTTCTCCTTCTTTGGTCCCCAAATAATTCAATTCTCATAGGACAATGGTCTGACCCCACCATAGGTTCATTGTGAATGATAGCTTGATGAAAAGCCTCCCTCCACTCAATTGAGCATAGACCCCTGTCCAATCTTCCCAAAATCTTCCTCTCCCCTTGTTGCATATTAGACCAAGTGAATCTTGGTCCCTTGAACTCCAAATCAATTAGTTCGTTATTAAAAACAAACTCCTTGAATGGTTCCATAGCATTTCTTCTTGGGGGATTACCACTATTTTTTTCCGAAGCATCCAACACCGCATTATAATCCCCCAACAAAAGCCAAGGTCTATCATTAGGGGGTCTACAATTACTAATAATCCCCCAAAAATCCCTTCTCTCACTAAGGTCATTGGGAGCATGAAGAAAAGTAAGAAAAAACCCCGTTCCTAGCTTGACGTAAACATGAACAAAAAAATCCGAGTGATCGATAACATTGATCACGAGGTCTTTAACCCACCAAAGAGCTAACCCCCCCCCCCCCTACTTCCTACTGGATTTTGGTACCATTTGTTGTAAAATTTGGCCCTCCTCCTTTCTACTTCTAATACATTTTCTTGTTGTTTTGTTTCCATAAGAAAAGAAATACTTCGCCTATAAGATAGATGCATATCTCTAAGATACTTTACTGCCGTGTCGGTGCCAAGACCACGACAGTTCCAACATAAGATTGTCATGGCTGCTTGGGTGGCTTATGGAGCGCCACCTTCTCCTTTCCAGATTCCTTCCCATCACCATTTCCATCCTGTTTCGTATCTTCATCCCTCATATCATAATCACCAACCATAGAGATTGATGATGGCTTTCTCTTTTTGGTGATTTTCAGCTTCTTTCTGGGCTCTTGAGCCTTCAGACCCCAAGGACTCAAAAACTGGGCCTCCATTTGCTTATTATCCCACAACACAAATGGTTGTTGAGCTTGGGCCGAAAAATAACTCCCCTGGGCCATCTGCAAGTAATTAGGACTAGGGAAGAAATTAGGTTGGCCCATTGTGAATAAAGGGTTGAAGTTTTGGGCTCCACTAGCGTGGCCCAACCCACTCCCATTTTGGTCTAGGGCACCAGAACCCGAACCCCTCTCAAGAATCCGCCTCCCTTGTCCCTGAACTCCCTCTTCTTCTTCTTCTTCTTGGAACAACGATCTAGGTTTGTATGGTGAGAAGTCACCGGTCTGCTTCAGCGCTAGTGGAGGGCCGGCTTTTTCGGTTACTTTTCTGCCTTCGAAGCCAGGGGGAGGGCCCGAGTTTCCACCCTCTGCACCCTGACGAGTTAGCCGTTGTGGGAGGCAAAGCCCTACGGGTAATGCCCTGCTCAGTGCTACCTCTCTCCTTCCTTTGGAAACCACGCCCACTGGAGAGGCGTCCGTCGAGGTAGGACTCCGCCATTCTTCTTCCATCTACCTGAGTGAAGTTATCCCCTGACTTACTCTCAGCTGTTCCTGGTGTTCTTCTTCTTTGATTCACAGCAAACGGGGAGACCGGGGAGTGAGGACCGGCTCTGATCCAATCTCCATATCGCCCCTCCACATAATCTCCTGGGTGTTTGCAGATTAGCTGGGTATGCCCAATTCTGCCACAGGCATATCAAATATTCGAGGGGAGTCTCTCATATTTGAACTCCACCCAGTGTTCTCTACCCTCTTCGATTTCGATGTAGAACCCAGGGGGAAGGGGTTCTGAGATGTCGACCTCCACAAGAACTCTAATGAAGTTCATGTAGATCCCTTCCGCAACTCCAGCTTCATCTCCCCTGACCAGCTCCTTGAAAATTTCGCTAAGGGGAAGGGCCACATTCTCCTCCAACCGCAAATCACTTGGGAAATCATGAATCTGAACCCAGATACGAGATCTATTGAAATCCAGAGATTCAATTCTGACTTTCCCTTGTTCAGTCCATTCTTTGAGGATGAGTAAAGCATCAGCGATCTTCCATGGTCTTGATTCCCAGATCTTCTCCTTGTCTTCTTTCGAGCAGAAAGTGATGACGAATGTGTTGCGGTCAATCTCGGCTACCGTTGGCTTCCTCACCTCTCTCCAGTTTCTTGCTAGGAGCATATCCATTCCTCCAACATTGAACTTCTTATCAGAGATAAGTTTTCCCACAAGAATTTCACTTTGCTTTCTTTCTGTCGGACCTCTTTTTGGTTTGAAGCGGAGGAGTGAATCAGACACACTGAGAGATTCTGTTTTTTTCAAAAGGTCAGAGATACCATTGCCAGCCATTTTTTGGATCGGAGAGCTTTTAGGGGATTTAGGGGAGATATCAGGGGAGCGGGAATAGATAAGTGCTATCTGGGTTTTTGTTTGGCTGCACAATTGGTGTGAGAAAGGTGGTTCTTTAATCTTCTCATAGATATAGTCTTCAATCTCTGTTGTTGGTGCTCTGTGTTTATTGCATTTCCAAAGGTAGTTGAGATTTGCCGAATAAAAGTGATCTCCCTTCTTCCTTTCCATGACTAGGTAACAGAGTAGAAGTCCTATCCCCACCAGCAAGATCTGGGCGAAATAAATATGCAGATGGGACAATACACAAAAAATCCATCTTTCTTTCCAACAGAAGAAGATCATATTAAAAGAAGGAGTAGGGAATTTGGTATGCATCCCATCTGGACTTGAATGCTCTTGGAGAAGAGGTAGAAAGGTCAGAGATTTTGGGGCTCTATAGTCCTTTCCTTTCTTCTTCCCAGGATCCTTACAAGAAGGAGATGTAATAACTTTGCTTGCATGGTTTCGATATGCAGTAGGTGAGGGATCAGATTTCGAAATCAGTTTGCAATTAGTTCCATAAAGGAAGTGTCTAGCCTCACCAGGAGAGTTCAGAGAAAAATTAGAGAGAGAAAAGGTAGAGAGAGACATGGGTGTTGTTTTTGATAAAAAAAAATTTAGTGACCAACCATTAAAAACCTCTATCTTTTGTCAAAATTGAAGAGACTTTTTCTACTAATGACACGTGTTATTATTAAAAAAAAAAAAGGTTCCACAGGATATTCCCTATAGGATGCTTGCTTAGTTGTCCAAGGGCCTAAAATTGTTTTTGACTTGTTGGGATCACAACTCAAAAACTTATGTTTTGTTTAATTAATAGCATTGCTTTGTCACTTAATTAAGATCCCCGTCTAATGCATCATTATTCTTTTGGGTACAGATCGATGGTTAATTTTCCATGAACTACACTAAATAGAGAAAACTTGCAGACAACAAATTCCAAGAGATCAAACAGACTAAGGCAATCCACAACACAAAGTTGAACACATACACATGAATTAATTTTCATCCCATTACTGGAAAAAAAAACCCCCCAAAATACTCACAATTAGTGACCTAATCACCGAGACCTGATCACATTTATAGGAATTAATTCAGATCATTACTTGACGCCACTGCAATCCCATTCCACCTCCTCCAGTCTTTAATTTCATAAATAAAGTCTCCATTATCCACACCTTCTGACGCAAATATATATATGAACATGCGCGGTTAGCAATTTCGAAAGACACACAACACACAAACGAAAAATGGCGAACCGTAATTCGTTCCTCCAGCCACGCCCATTCCTTCTCCTCACCCTATCCCTCATCATCATCGCCATTGCCGCCGCGTCGGTGGACGGATCCGACGACGGAGCATTCTCCCGGCCGCCGGCGCGGAACGTTCTCATCACACCCCACGCCCGCGCCGAGTCCGAGCCGCAGCAGGTTCACGTCTCGTTGGCGGGGAAAGATCACGTGAGGGTGACGTGGATCACCGACGATAAGCACGTGAGCTCGGTGGTGGAGTACGGGACGACGGAGGCAGGGCCGGCCGGAAAGTACGAGGCGACGGCGAGCGGAGAGCACACCAAGTACCGCTACTTCCTCTACGCCTCCGGGACGATCCACCACGTGCGGATTGGGCCGTTGAAGCCCAACACCGTCTATTTCTACCGCTGCGGTGGGATTGGGCCCGAGTTCTCGTTCAAGACCCCACCGGCAACTTTGCCCATCGAATTCGCCGTCGTCGGTAAGTACTACATGTTAATCAATTTATTAAATATCAGCTGATTATTTCTGTTGGGTAACTTGGGTTGTCGTTGCAACGTGCTTTGAACGGACGGAACATCTGCTTTTTTGTTGGGGCCGGTTAGAAGGAATGCTTAAGGAAGGGGGATTTCCGTTGGGTGGGGGAGAATTGCACGCCATTCATTCCGTTAGCTAAAAGGGCACCCCATCTTGTCTATTTGCTAACTTGTCCACAACAGTACTGTCTCCTTTGGATCTAAACCATAGAAATAGTATTCACCTAAAAGACAGTACTTATCAGTTGAGATAGTTAAGTCCTAGTTTTTTTTTCTTCTCCAGACAGCTTTAAGTCCTAGTTTGAATTTTGTTCGATAGATACAAATATTGGACCGGATCGTATCGGACTGAATACAATAATGTTTCGATTCTTTAAATGAGATTTTTTTTACAATAGGACTGCGATTCTCATAATTTAGTCCAGTTCGTAGTGAGCATCGTGGCACATCCCTAAATACTAACATGCTAGAGTCAGGTTTGAAGAAAATTGATGAACATCAACAATCCTGATCCTATAAATATTGGACGAATATAATCAACTCCCAATAATTATTCATCGCCTTGAGAATTACTATTTGGGTCGGACTAAATCATGAGAATGACGGTCTAATAGTAAAATAATTCTTACGATCAAGTGCCTAACCAATATTGAATTCGGTCCTGTTTTATCTGGTCCAATTATCGAGTAACTGTATCCATTTTTCCTTAAGTATTTACCATTTAAAGAATTTACGACAAGAAAATTTTACAATATTATATTTGATTCAACGTGGATCTGATTTGATCCGGTCCAAACGAAACTATTGTGCACCCCTTCATAACGTCTTATAAGTAGATCAATTTGCCGTACTTAGTTAATTAAATGTCAGTAGAACCAACCATTGACTAATAAATAAATAAACAATTATTTGCCAACTATCTGGGACTCTATTGTGCTTCAGAACACCATTGACCCCATTAGGAAAAAGAAAGTCGTGCACATACGTGGCCACGCAGAATCAATTTAGATGACTAGTTAATTACCACCATCATAACACTATTTAACCGCCATTGTTGTAGCAGTGACCACTACTTTAATAATAAAATGCTCCATTGGTGCATTTGGACAGGTGACCTAGGGCAAACCGAATGGACCCAATCAACCTTACAACACATCAACGGCAGCGACTACGACGTGTTCCTGCTCCCCGGCGACCTCTCCTACGCCGACTCCCAGCAGCCGCTGTGGGACTCCTTCGGCCGCCTGGTGGAGCCCTACGCCAGCCGCCGCCCTTGGATGGTCACCGAGGGCAACCACGAGGTCGAGTCCTTCCCCATCATCTTCCCGCACGGCTTCAAGGCCTACAACGCCCGCTGGCTCATGCCCCACACAGAAAGCGGCTCCAGCTCCAACCTCTACTACTCCTTCGACGTCGCCTCCGGGCTCGTCCACGTCATCATGCTGGGATCCTACACCGACTTCGACTCCCACTCCGATCAGTACACGTGGCTCGCTGCCGACTTGGCCAAGATAGACAGGAAGGCCACGCCCTGGGTCGTGGTGTTGCTGCACGCGCCGTGGTACAACACGAACGAGGCCCATCAGGGGGAAGGCGAGAGCATGCGGAGTGAAATGGAGGAGCTCTTGTACGATAATCGGGTCGACGTCGTTTTCGCCGGCCACGTTCACGCTTATGAAAGATTCGTAAGTTTTTTGTTTTTATTTTTTATTTTCTCGTTTTCGTCGGCAAGGTTCCTTGTGCGACTATTTTGTTACGTACTTAATTACGTTGGGGACATGTGGTGCAGACGAGGGTATACGATAACAAAGCGGATCCGTGTGGGCCGGTGCACGTGACGATTGGGGACGGAGGCAACAGGGAAGGGCTGGCATTAAGGTATCATGTTCTTACCTTGTCACGTGATCGTGATTATAGTGCAGATTGAGATTAACTAATAAACAATGTGTGATTAATTAATTAATGAAGGTTTAAGAAAGAGGCGGTTTCGGCGCCGTTGTCGTTGTACCGGGAGCCGAGCTTTGGGCATGGGAGGTTGAGGATAGTGGACGAGAAGCGAGCTCACTGGTCGTGGCACCGGAATAATGACTCCAGTTCTGTGGTGGCGGATGAGGTGTGGTTCAATAGTTTGAGTGCGTCGGAAGAATGTTGGCCGCGAAAGGGTGGAAACGTTGACGGCGGCGGGGGGCTATCGGCGAGAGTTGGGCTGGATGAGCTTTAAGCGGATGGAAATTGGTTTCATGATTTTAAGGAGTGATAATTAGTTGTACTAATTTCTTTTTATAAGAGTGGAGCAACAATAGAAAGGAAATGGGAGGGATGATTTTTCTGGTAGATTCCGAGTACTAGAAAGTTTGGATTCTGAATTGTGGAATTTGACTATATTTATTTTTCCTATCTATGGGAGTAGTTGTAATTTGCTATCATAATCCTCCCATCCCTACCTGGCTAATAACTTTCCAGTTGATATGATCCCAAATTGCCCACCATTCACGTCACAATTACTTGACAAAGAAGCTAACAAAGTTGGGAAGAAGAAAGGCAGAATTTGGCTAAGTCAAAATCCGTGTTCAGGGTACATATTTTTGGAGGCATGGTTCTCTCAATGTGCTTGGTGGAAATTCAAGTTTAAGGGTTTGTTTTGCAGATCAAGTTACCATCTTTCCAATGGTATGCTTTATGGAGCCAGATGATGTCATTAAGGTTGTTTTCCAAGGCCTCAAAGTTGCTACCTCAAAACTGGAAAACTGCCAGAAAATGACTAAGGCAGAAAACTGTTCTGTGAAGCCTACTTTGGAGCTCAATTCAAGGAGCATGGATCTGATTCGAGACCAAAGGCTTCTACAACATGAAACTAGGTATGTTTATATACCAAGGGAAGGAATCGGATGAAAGATCGGAGTTCTGGAAGGTCTCGAACGAAAGGCGCGAAGTTAATACGAAAGCTGCCTTTTGACTGTTTTGCGGGCAGATTACTTGTGCGCCAAGAAAGGAAGTTTATGGCCGAATTTTGAGTCCTTTTTAGAGTTTTTTTTTACCTTAATTGTTTCCTTGTTCATCTAGATTTGTATTAGGTTTTATTGGCTATAAATAGCCCTCCATTTACGTTGTAAAAACATAAGACTTTGATTAATCGAAATTGAGAACCGTTTGGTTTGTGCAAGTTGCGACTTGTTTTGGGTTTGGTGGATTCCAAACTTGCTGAGCTTGTGTATCGATTGAATAGTCACTTCAATCGTGGTCGAGCAACTACCCTTTTATACCAATCGAGCTATCCCCATGTGTGGATTTGTCCTTTTGGTTCCGTTTTATCCAAGTTCGTATTAAGAACGCGTTGTTCTTGATTCGAGCTCAATCGATTCTTCGATTGAGTTGTTTGCTGCGTGACTTTGATAAACATACACCCCCAGGGGCGTATTACCAGTTATATAAAAAATACATGCCTACTCGAACAAAAGCCAACTCATGAACATCAAGTTCTTCGCCAAGTGTGTGATGAGATCCAAATGCCTTTTGTGATCTTAGGAGATTTTAATGTCACTTTGAACGAGTTTAAAAAGGATGGTGGTAATCCCTGGACTGTTGCCCCATCCATTCCTCTCAGAAATTTTATTCATGACTTAGGGGTCCAGAATTCGGAGTACCAAGGTGACCAATTTACCTAGACAAATAAAAGGATGTGGGCGGCCTATATCCGTGAACGGTTGGATAGAGCTCTTTGCTCTCAGACCTGGTTAGAGAGATTCCCTGATACTCTTCTTAAATATTTCACGGATCAGGGTTCTGATCATCGAGCTCTAATCTTCTCTGATAAGCCTTATGTCAGGCATAGTCGACCTCTTTTCCGCTTTGATGCTCGATGGGCAGACAACCCGGAAGTCAAGGCTATGGTGACTTATGTGTGGGCTGAGGAAGTTTATGGTACCTCTATGTACCAGCTGTGGGAGAAATTGAAGAAACTCCGCCACCTTCTTTATGATTGAAGCACAGCAGGTACTACGAATTCGCTTAAAAATATTAAGACCCTTCAAGCTGAAATTGATAGGGTTAAGCTTTGTCGCCCGATTAATTGGGAGGAGGTGAGGGTGTTGGAAATCAAGCTCAATAGGCAATGGGAGGCAGAGGAGGCCTACTGGCAACACAAATCTAGAGTCCGCTGGCTCAAGAAGGGTGATAAAAATTCATCGTATTTTCACACGGTCGCCTGGACTCGTCGGAAACGCAATTTTGTTGCAGGGCTTCATAATGAGGAAGGCGATTGGGTTACGGAGGAAAGAGAGAAATCTGATATAGAATTAAATTTTTATCAACACCTCTTTACCTCAGAGACCCGGGTTCAGAGCATGGACGTCAGGATTGCTGCCCTTCCAATAGACGTACGTTAGGATTCACCGCTCGATCCCAAGCCCGTGGAAAGCTTCTAGAATATGAGAAATTCAGCCCCAAGAAAGGAAATCCAAGTTCAAGACGTACAATGATGGTTTTTGCTGACTTTGGGAGGGAAAATATGGCTCATTCCACTGGAAGCCCAAACCATTGAAAAAGTGTCATTTTTGTCCTAACCTATTTACTATGACAAATCTGGTGCAAACTATTTTCCCGTTAATATTGACAGACGTTGATCGTTAGTATTTAACAGAAAATCGAGTCAGTGTCTATGTGGTTTGTGCCAGATTTATCATATTGAATAGTTTAGGACCCAAAAGTCATGAAACGCATATAGGTTGTGTCAGATTTGTCATGTTGAATAGTTTAGGACACAAATGACACTTTTAGGATAGTTTGGGCTTCCTAGTAAAATTAGCCATATTTTCCTCCCAAAGTAAGCAAAAACCATCCTTGTACGTCTTGAACTCGGATTTACTACCTTGGGCTGAATTTTTCACATTTTAGAAGCTTCCCACGGGATCGGGCCAGAGCGGTGAATTATAGCATCCTTGCTCTCTGCTGGCTTTTCTTCTGCAAACAACCTATTTTGGTGGGGTAACTCCATCATGGGATCATTGTGATACTTCTCAAATTTCAGCTCGTTTGGACTTTATTGAGCCCCGAGCTTTCAAAAATATGATTCTCTGGCCTTCAGATGAGTCCAATGTCCAAATCCATCTACCTTTGAGCCCACGAGCTTGTAATCTCCTCCTTCTATCTATCCATTAATGCAAGCCTTAATCGATCCAGAACCTCCTAAAAGCCCTAACACTACCTTGACGATAAAGGTCTAAAGCAACTGGTAGAAGGTGTTGAAAGCATCTAAGGTGGTCAAGAAGCTAATGAAGGGCGACCTTGATATATGAAAGATTTGGAGAGATCAAAGACCATGGAGAGCTCGAGGACCATGTTGAGGAAGGTCATCTTCAAATCTATCATCTACCTCCATGTTTCACCCACCAAATTGGTGATCCAGAGATGCAAAGGTCTTCTCAACATGCAGCGTCTTGGATGCGGTTTGTCGAGGTTAAAGACATGATTCATCAACTGAGATCTCAGCGATCTCTCTCTGCTTCATCCCTATTGGTTTATGGTTCTCTTTTTCCTATGTAGGTGTGAAGGTCATTCATCCAGGCTTCAGTGGTTAGTGCTCGGTCTCGACGAGAGTGGAGCTCTCTTACGACATCCATCGTTTTCCCAGCAACATGGAAAACAAAGGTGGCACTCAGAGATGAAGTTGGTTGATGTTTAGTGTCTACAGCTTGATAGGGTGTGTTGTTGGCTCCCCTTCTGTGGGCCATATCTATGTTGGGCCTTGTTTTTCTTTTTCTCTTGTGGCATAAGGTTGAGCCTACTGTTAAGCGCTTCCAATTTTTTTTCTTTTGTTCTATTGTCTTTCCATGATTCTTTGGGATCAAAACTATATACCATTACTGAAGTGTAATATAAGCAATTTCTTTGTAAAAAACTTGACCAGAGCTTTGTTTTACATGCTCGATTTCGAGTTTGAAAAGCTAAACCATAAGGGAAGAAGCCACTCTACGTTGCTATTCGCTAATCTGTTGACGAGAGCATCTTTTCGAAGCTTTCTGTTTTGAATTGATTTTTGTTGGATATTTTAATTAATGCACAAGAATATGCCGGTAGATTTAAACATATCAATTGTAGTTAGAGGTGACAAATGAATTGGTTGATTATTCATGTAAGGATGCACAATGTGTAGGTTGGGTGAGTTTTTGGTGAAAGTCTATGTAACATCCCGAACCTTTTCCCGACAAGATACTGTTCGCTTTGGGCCTCTACACCCGCACAGTTTTCGACTTGGGGTGCAATTCAGGGTGACTTCCCATAAGGTCACCCATCCTTGTTGTACTCCATTCTGAGCACGATTAACTTCGGAGTTTCTCACAAGAACTCCTCCATTACACTCCAAAACGCGTCTTGTCAGTTAAGGTCAGTTTCTTACTTATGAACCATGGATCTCTCCCGTGCTTTGTCGATGTGGGATTCGCCTAAGGCGTTACATACACCCCCCACGGGACTCAACGTCCTCGTTGAGGTTTTCCCCACCATCGTTCAAGAGGGACGCGGAGAGGCTCTGATACCACTTGTAACATCCCGAACCTTTTCCCGACAAGATACTGCCCGCTTTGGGCCTCTACACCCGCAAAGTTTTCGACTTGGGGTGCAATTCAGGGTGACTTCCCATAAGGTCACCCATCCTTGTTGTACTCCATACTGAGCACGTTTAACTTTGGAGTTCTCACAAGAACTCCTCTATTACACCCCAAAACGCATCTTGTCAGTTAAGGCCGGTTTCTTACTTATGAACCATGGATCTCTCTCGTACTTTGTCGATGTGAGATTCGCTTAAGGTGTTACAGTCCACCCACCTAGTGTTTCGATGGGTGGTGAAAAAGTCACCGACACCACCCCATTTGTATCATTATGGGTGGGTTGGGTGGATGGGTAATGTAGGATGGTTGGTGGGATTGGCGGTTGTGTGAGTCAAATGTTTTTAAATAACTAGATAAGTATGAGATGTAAAGGTTTACAGGAAGCTAATTGAATATCAACTTTACAAAACTCAAGAAAATGTATAGCTATTAAGCGTAGTTTATCGCATAATCTAACACCAATGATATCATTGTGAACCAAAAATGTCATATGGATAGTTATCCTATTTTTTAAATAATTGACGTAAAATTTATGTTGTAATTAAAGTAAATTTATTAAAAATAGTTTTTATTCAATTAAATCAATCATGATTAAAATTTCGAGATAGAAAAAATATAGCATATTATCATAGAATGTTGATAATGAAATAATATACCGGATGATTTTGAGGGTCAATGAGCCATCAACACAAATTTAATGAGTGTAGAAAAGGATGACCCACATCCACCAACTGGCCATCAAATCTACCAAAAAATGTAGTGAGTGGGTTATAATTGAATGGATTGTGTTGGGGTAATAGAG